CCCCCTCAAAGTATTTTTTGTCAGTACCATTTAAAATGATTGTGAAATAATGGTAATTGGTTTTAGAGTATAAGAGGAAGGTGACACTGAAGCTGAAGCAAAAATGATTTGTTTAAGATTATCCTGTGAGTCGAAGTTTAGTAGTATTTTTGATATCAGGTTGGTAGAAAATATTTGAGATCTTAAAATATAGATTGCCAGATGTATAATGGCTTGACAGTACTGGATTAAATATATAATTATTTGCATGAAATGTTTTGAATAATAAATGTCCTGGGCCAGATGTCACGTAATAATTTCATATTTCAGAATTTAGCTGATCCTTAAATGTTTGAAGGAAGGTGATTATGAAAGGTGCATTATGAAATTGACAGTGAAATAGTATACCCAAATGGAACTGGATATTATATAAGAAATTGATCTTATTAAAATATATAATGTTCAAATGCATTATAATGATATAATTGCAGAAAATCAATTTGCTGAGCTGTTTAGGTAGTATTTTTATATCCAAGTGATTCATCCTTAGCTAAACTTTGTAAACTCTTAGAGACTGTTTATATATCTTTCTGCTGTGGATCTGCATATTTCAAATTTGACATCATTGTGCTTATGTGAGTTTTCTTCAATACCTTACATGATGTACTGTATAACAGGGATCAAGCTATCTGTGGCATTCCAAATGTTAAACTGAAATTCAAAGCAGCTCCAGCTGGGCTAGCCAGGGAAATTCAACAAATTGGAAGTCTCTGCTTTCCAATCCTGATTTTAAAAAACAAAATCATTTCACTGAGTATCCATGTTTATTTGAACAGTTTATTACAAAAACTACCAGTAATGCTGGCTCTTACCTCATGGAATTAAACTACCAATGCGTTAAATGAATACAAGTTGTCCCATTTTGATCGTTACATGTTTTCTTAGTGAGGACAAGAGATATGAGTATATAAACATCAGAACTGCTGCAGAAATGTTATTTCCTGAATTAATTGTGGCAAGATTGTATTTTACTGTTTAATTCGTCTTTAAAGGCATGCTGCTAAATACTGACAGTTCTTGTTGAAACATGCACTGTGCGTTTCACAACATGATTCCACTTATGGGCTTGTTCTTCTGCACCTGTTGATAGGACACCTGTTGTGAAAGAACGTATTACTAACAGGTAGCACAACTTTTATCTCTTTCAAGTACAGGTTTCAAATATGTCATGTCTGTGTTATAATTAAAAGGCAGCATTACTTGTGCAGTGTATGCTCTATATGTTTACTGGCGATACCTGCCTTCAGTAACTATAGCAATGATTCACAACTGCCTGGTGGGTGGGTGCTTATGATAACACAGATTTTAAAAACACCACACCAAACTCCAGATTGCAGCAAGCGAGAGAAATGTTAAATTCTTACTTTATTACCTGCTCAGATTCTATTAATTAATTGCTCCCAGTCTTTTATATATGCATGTTCACTGTAAAAATGTTAGAAG